TTTTTTTTTTTTGGCATCTTAAAAAAGTCTTAAAATAGTCTTAGTTTGTGTCACGTTTAAGATCTTAAACGAACGACAATTTTAAGACAATTTTAAAACGATTTTTTTTTACACGGGAGATATGCAAATTCAAAATTTCGCGATTTTTCTAGTTTTTCAATTTTGTTTTTGCAATATATCTCGAAAGCTATTATAGATACAGGAATGGTCTTTGGTTTGTTTGAAAGAGGACACTTAGGGTTATTAAAAAATAATATTTTGGAAAAAAATTTTGAAAAATGCCAAATTTGTCAAAATTTGAATTTTTGAAAATCGTCAAAAATGAAGAGCGCCATTAAAATTTTGGCTCAATTTTTTTTGTATGATACCTTGTACTGATCTTAAAAGATCCTGAAATTTTTAGAACTGTTTTTTTTTTAATTTGAATTTTTGAATTTCAAAAAAAAATTTTTTTTTGTTTTTGGCAACTTCTATATAAGGTAAAGTTATGCGGATACATAATATTGTAATTTTGAGTATTTAAAAATCAAATGCACGACGTGAAAATATTAAATAATAAATTAATTTTAACTTTTTTTTATTTTTTAGACATTATTTTTTATTTTTTTTCCTTTGGCAGAACTTCGTTTTATGATAAAAGAAAACTTCTGACCAAAATTCATCCAAATCGAAAGGGGTCGATTCCAAATGATACTAAAGTTAGCCGACGTTTTTAATTTTTTTTTAATAATTAAATTCGAACAAAAAAATATTTTTTAAAAATTGCACTTTGAGTTTTTAAAATTTTTAATATGACATTTTTTTTTTCTTTTTTTTTTGCAGTCATTTTTTCAATAAAAAAAATTTTTTTAATTTTTAAATATCGGCTAATTTAATTTTCATCGATTCCAACTATTGGTCGATATGACATGGAATGATTCACATTATATTTTGTAATATTTATATTTGTGCCACCCCGATCTCCACTGTACTGGTTGAAACTATAAAAATTAACTGGAATCCGAGTGAATTTTACAGTTTACTTTTTTCCGTGATCATTTATTTACGAATGTAATTCACAGAACAAAACGCGTGGATTGTTCGGAAACTGGAGCAATGATATTCTGGATGAATTTACATTACCAGACGGCCGACAAGTACCGTATGGTAATTTAGATAACTTTGAAACGGTACATAAAGATTTTGCGATAAATTGGATCCTCGAAGATAAAATAGATCCTCTAAAAGGGAATTCATTGTTCGTACGTGAATTTGGACGTACTGCTAGTTATTTTTCAAATCGCACATTTGTTCCCGAGTGGAGACGCCGCCCAGAAGATTTTCTACCTGCAAATCGGTATTTTTAGACTTTCAAATTAATTTTTTATTAACTTGTTAGTAATCAATAAGATGCCGAGTAATATAATGCAAGTGCTTGATATTTTTAGATCAGTCGATGTAGAGCGCGCTCGTGAATTATGCGGTGACTCTTATCAATGTCAGTATGACTATGCTATGACGCTTAATAGGGATCTAGCACATTTTACCAAAAATTATCATGATACTTTGACACAAATCAAAGCAATCAATTCCGGACGGAGTAAGTTTTATTTTTGATTAAGGAGGTTCAAGCGTTACTTATGAGTCAAAATAATGTTAAAATGTTTTTTTACTTTCACACGGAAAAAAGAAAACAAGAATAATTACAGTTTAAAATCTAAAATCAAGCCCGTCGTTATCAAAATAGAAAAAATTAAAAAAGTTCAAACTGTAATTTTTGTATTTTATATAGTAACAAAATTGTTGTCATGCAAGAAGCAAATTTTACAGTTTGGAAATGTAAATCTAACATCATAAAAGGTAAAAATATTATTGCTTTTTATGCAGGAAATTTTATCTCTTTAAAAGTCATTAATTTCTATTTAAAACTGTAAAAATTATCATTTTTCAGCAATATACAAATTATAATGCCAAATAATATAGTTTATTTACTGGTTCACTAAAATTTACAGAGTGAGATACGAATTATGAACGTTAGTATAGAAAAAGTAACTATTGCATCTCACGCTGTAATTTTTAGATTTTCTATATTAAGTACAGCCAATACTCTAGCAGCCAGGAACTTACTGCTTAAAATCCAAAAATTAACGTTTGGCTCAACAATGTTTGAATAGCGGTAGAGAATTCTATCCCCTCTCCCGTATAAATTGGACTCCAGTTTTTTTCAGTCACTATTGTCGACGCATACTATTTACGCTTGTAGCCTATAACTACACTCTACTATACAGAATGCTATGTCGTTCGAATAGCGTCGGAATAAAACGTCGGTCTTTCATGCATAGACGCTGAGATCGAATCCTGGCTAGGGTAATTTGCGATTAATATTATTATAAGTTTATTTATATAAGGAACGCGAATATGTGTGTGATATGATCAACTAATTTCCTAATACCAATCCCCTCTCCTCTTCCTCAAATTAAAAACTTCGAAAATAAATATGATAAGAAATATGTCCCATGAACATATGAATAACCAATACCAAAAATTAAATTTCATTCAAAAAAAAATTTTTTTCTGTTTCACATATAGACTTTAGAATTGCCGTTTTC